AAGATGTTGCCTACCTGCCCGGCGCTTCGAGTGCTGGCAGAGGCTGAACTGGGCAGGTTCGTAGCGGCGAATGACGGACATGTACTCTCTGGATGATGCCTACGGTTAATTTTCGCGGTATGGGGAATGTCACAGGAGGTTACGGGGATTCCCCCTAACTGGTTTCTACCGAACGCGAATTTCAGCTGTCGTCTCTGAGGATGGCGCATTAAGATCCAAAGCTCATGCGGTACAGAATAGTTGCAAAAATGTACGGCGACGGCGTCCGTAAGCCATCGACTGTGTGTTTATGCGCTTGGCCGTTGGCCCGTTCCTGTCGGTCCCATGAGGATGAGGGGGAAAAGGGAGCCTGGCCCAATTCCCCCTAGTCTTTTAATCACTGTTTATCCCTCTACTGCATGAGCGACGCTTTTTTACGCCCCCGAAGCGCGCAGGGTATACGTTACGTTTCTAGCAAAAACAAGGGCGACGCGGGTCGCCGTTGGTCCCCGGCCAGCAGTTTGCCATGCATACCCATCACAGCAGCAGCAGTGCGGCCTTGCTGCGTCCGGTGGACAAAAGAGGCTTCCGTGAGAAACAAATACAAACGGGGGGGGGGGGGGCATTCGCTGTCCGAAATGACAAGGAAAATAAACACTTTCAAAATAAAAGAAGCAGTGAGTTGAAAGGGGCGCGCCCGTCCCGCGCGACAAAGCGCGTCATCCATCGTCACCGTTGCCCTCTTTACGACTGGCGCAGTGCGCCCGTCACACGGAGGATAGGCAACCCCTCGCGCGCGCCCGTCACGGCGCTGACTGCCTCGCGGGCGCGGCCCTCCACCGAGGGGTCCTTCACCTTCACTCAAAACAAATGAGTGTATTAAGTAAAACCCCACCCCCCACCTCCTATTTAAAGAAAATCAGGAAAGATAAAAAAAATCCAAAAATCAGGATTTTTTTAAAGAAATATCAGAAAATTCAGACAAAAGTAAAAGGATGATCTGGTCAAAACAGAAAATTTGGTGT